CACAACCTCATGAAAATATAAGGATTAGAATAGAATCATTAAAGATTTGGTGATGACTTCATGTTTTTATCTTAATATTCATAATTCAAAAGGAAGATGTAAGAAAAAAAATAATGGTTGTAATGTAATCATTTAAATAGTTTCACTTGCTTAAGTGAAAAATACTTTTGCCCACTTGCTGTCCTTTGTTTGAGTCGTCTTCTCTCTGAGTGACAGTTGCTTTTTTAGGTGGGCATATGTGGTCGCACTGGCAGTGGGAAGTCATCTTTATCTCTGGCTTTCTTCAGAATGGTTGATATATTTGATGGTGAGTGGCTAACTAAATTTTTTAATTCATCATGTGTTGCTTTCCTTTTAAAAACTCAATTTACCTAATTTTGCAAGAAATAAAAACCAAATATTTATAAGGACCTTGTGTTCTACACATGGTTTGAAGCAGATAACCCAAATAAACAGCTCAGAAGTAAAGAAACAAGGTAGAATGGGGGAATAAAATGATTATTCCTAAACTTATATCTAGAGATTATTGGTAAAGAGTTCTAATAAACTCATCGAATGAAAACAGGGCCACCCACTTTGAATAGCAATAGATGGTGGTAGCCTTTCAAGAGGAAGGAAAGCAGAGGAAGACTACTTGGCTTCCTTCAAGCTTAGAAATCTGCATTTTTTATTTTGGTGCATAACTTTTACCATGACCTTCTTGATAACATTGTTTAATGGCATTGAACATTTTCAAGAGGCAATCTTTAGCTTTAAAGTGCTAAGTTCATGATAACAATATACAAAAACATTTGTTCGTTCCCTAAATTATTTATAATTTAATTCACAAGCATATAGAAATAATGTAATCTATCTTAGAAAAAATATATCACATTATTTAGTCTGTCCAGTGGCCTATAAATAGGCCAGCACAGAAGCAATCTTGCATGAAAGGGAAACTAGCAATGAATTTAACCCCAGCTCAAGGAAGTACTAAATGTTACTATCCATCATGATTATGATGATGGTTATTGTACTTTGCATATTTATTGTACTTGATAGTTTATTAAATAGTACATTATTGAATTTACTGTACATAACAGTTCTGTGACATAAAGAGGTCAATTTATGGACAACAAAATTGAACCCTAATAATTGTAATTTGGAAGGGGAGATTTAGATTCAGGAATGGAATAACTCTCTGTGGCTGGGTTAGCAGCTTGCTTTTTCCATGGCTAGTAATAATGCACAGATACTTTAAAGACTTTCAGTGGGATTTGCACTACAAGGTAATTAAATGATCCAAAATCAATTCACTGATATTTTTCATTAAAAAACTGTGCTTATGACTGATCACGTTAGGTTACCCTGATCCTCATGAGCCCAGGAACATGATTTTAAGCCCCATGTGAACTACTATTTTCTTTTTAATAGCATTAGATGATTAAGATTTTAGTAAGTAATTTATTGTTCCTGAAAGGTACTGTTTAAGCTGATCCCTCTTAGTTGCTCTTGAATCTGTATCAACTTGGTGAAAGGACTGGCGGATCATTCCTAGCCTGGACTGGCATAGTCACCTCACAGAGTGATGTTGTCTTTGCCCCAAAGTGCCATGATAAAATGAATCTGTCAGCTTGAGGAAAGAATATGAAGATTGCACAAGTCTCTGAAAGTCTACATAGAGTATGGGGAAATTTATTAAAATTTGATATCTATATCATAGAATTTACTTTCCTATTTGCAATGAATTGTACTAGTCAATCAATATGGACATAAATGACAGACAAAACTCCTTGTTTTCCAGGGGCATATATTCTAGTTGGGGGTGAGACAATTAAAAAGATAAGTCTATGTATGCAGAATGTCAGATTCTTATAGATCCTATATTTAGAAGAATAAGCAGAAAAGGAGAATAAAGGAACACCAGAAGGGAGAGGACCATAGGCCATAAAAGTATTTTGGTTTGTAGGACCACATGAACTGAATAAAACTTGAAAATGCCTTTAGGGGAAATATACAAGACAAACTATTACCCAAAGGTTTATCTTCTTAGAGACACATCATGATGCGTTTAATACAATAAGAGGAAAGCTTCATTTTCTGATTTCAACACTAAAACTTAAAAAGAACTTTCAACTTGTAAACAGATTACTTTGCTTGTGATTTTTTCATATGCCTGTAATTTTTGTTTTTCCATAACAGGAAAGATTGTCATTGATGGGATAGACATTTGTAAGCTACCGCTGCACACACTCCGTTCTAGACTTTCCATTATTCTGCAGGATCCGATCCTGTTCAGTGGTTCCATTAGGTAGGTGACATGTTCAGCAGAAGTCCGTTCGCCTCAGGATTTACCCTGTGGCTCATGGAGAAGAGCTCTTTTTCATGTATTTGTGAAATAACATTGTCAAGACAATAAGATCAAATACTGCATTTATGATTTTAGGCTGGAAAACCCTGAAGTTGCTAAGTTGACCTATAGAAGCAGCCAGTCCCCTTTCGTCTGCAGATCTTTTCTTTCTCACTGATTCTATAGAAGCTGATATTTCCTCTGTACTTGGGAGCAGTGGCTCTTGGCAGACATTGTCCTACCCTACAGATACCCTGGACAGATATTCTGACTTTGGTTAACCTTTTTCTTTATCCTCTTCCCCACCTTTTACCTTTAGCCAAAATTGCTTTGAATAAACCGCTACAGTCGCTCTGTGCCTGATTTGGAGTCCCCACCCCCACCCCCACCCCCTCACACACAAATGGGAATGTCCGCCATCTGGAAGGTGCTTTAAATATGTTGTCTGATTAAATTCTCAAAGCATGGCCCTAGAATGCATATTATTATCCTCATTTTACAGATAAGGGTTTTGAAATGCAAAGAAGCCGTCACTTACCCAAGTTCATATGCCTAGTAAGTGGTAGAACTGCAGTGGCATCTGAATTTTGTCTGATTCCAAAGTCCACCTGGGCACCGTCCAGCAGATCATGTCTCTCATTTCATCCATCTTCCATTCTTCTTGTTCTCTTTGTCCATTCATTTAATTATAAAGATTAATTATATAATCTTTATAATTAAAGATTAATATATAATGATTAATTATATAATCTTTATAATTAAATGAGCAGTGCCTGTGGCTCAAAGGAGTAGGGCACCAGCCCCCTATACCAGAGGTGGTGGGTTCAAAGCCCACCCTGGCCAAAAAACGAAACAAAACAACAACAACAAAAAAAGAAGTGCCACCACCTTCTCTTACTAGGTACTCTTTGTCTTGCAAAGAAAATGCACATAAGATTTCTCAATATTTAGCTGTCAAATTACCTTAACTAAAAGTTCTAAATATGTCAGGTTAATTAGCAACACCACGGTGAATTTACATCTCTGAGTATATTTATTATGAACGCTACTATTGTGGTTAGTGCAGCATGGCTTGTCTAACCGATGTCTTGTTCAGCATCATTTGTTGCTAAACACTAGCCTGGGTTATAGGAAGCACAACAGGGAGTGGATGTAGCCCTGTACCAAAGTTAATCACATCATATTATGAATGTAAGCTTACCAAACGACGCATCAAAACCATCTCTGGGAACAGTAAGGTCGTGGATTCGTTCGCTCGTTCATCCATCAAGCACGAATCCACTGCTTGCTCTGTCCTGGGCACTGTTCTAGGTGCTGAATATACAGCAGGAACCAAAACAAATAGAACTCACATTTTAAAGAAAGAAAAGCAATGGGCAAATATACATGAGTCTTTCTCTACTTATTGACTAATACTGATCTTTTTCTACTACAGATTTAATTTAGATCCGGAGTGTAAATGCACAGATGACAGACTCTGGGAGGCGCTAGAAATTGCTCAGCTAAAAAATATGGTCAAATCTCTACCGGGAGGTCTAGGTATGTTTTCTACACAGTACATTTATTGTTTCTATATAAGCAATTAATTATACCTATCTCTATCTACATTTAATGCTATAATCACATAATTCTAGTGTTAAATCTCCTTCTATCTAAAATAATCCCCTAAAAGTCACTAGGAAATTTCAAAATCTAATGATTTTGTACGGGGTGCAAGAGGATGAAACTTTATAACAAATTCTGTTCTGTGTGAACACTCCAAAATATTCTACTTAATGTGTGTATATTTTTAGTCTTCTCATCACTGATGAGTACAGATCACTTTAACCACAATCTTTCCTTGTGGTCATTCTTGTGCAGGATGTCATCAAACTTCAGGAAATGGATAAGTGGATTGCAGAGGCTGTCAGGTTAAGAGCCCTGGGCACCATGGAGGAGAAGGCAATTCCTCCATGTTAATGCTGCTGGGAAAGCATATTTCTTTAATTTATATAACATAATTTTCTTTGTGCTTGAAGACACTATTTCATGTTACCTCGATGCAGTGCCAGTTTTAGCCACTTACATAAAGAACAAAACGTGTACTAAAAATATCCAGTCCCAGAGGCAGTGTGATTTCTGACAAATAAACAACAACTGAATGAAAGAATGACATTGTTAATGAAACAATAGGGAGTTCATATTGTTTTTAATTCACAAAAAGGAGTATCTATAGTTTTAGACATTTGCTTCCTCGAAATCTGAACTCCTTCAAGAGAACACTAGGAAAGATAATCATTTATTGGCCTTCTAACTTGAATACACAATAGTCATTTGCCAAACTGTGTAGTCTTGGCATCTAGCTTTTTGAAAGTTAACCTATAAGATAAAACCATGTTTATTTGGAAAGAAGAGGTTACTCAAAAACATGACATTTTCATTACTTTAATTAAGTTCCCAACAGAAGGGAAAACTTAAGACAGTATGTTTTTAAGGAAATGTTATTGACCTTACTGGTGTCAGATTGTGAGAGCAGTTCCAGAACTCTGCATGAACTTTCCCATAATAATTTTTACTGTCTCCTGTGGAGAGCACAGCAAGCCGACTTGAGAAATTGATACATGTTTATTGTACTTTCTCTCTGGCACTTAGAGACCCTCTCTCCCACCATTAGTAGTTGGAAAGGCAGGCAATTGCATCTTTATGGTACTCTTCACTAACATGAGAGCTGCGTGTACCTGTTTTGTACTGTGGGCATGGGTTTGGGGATTATGGTGCAGTATAAGCAATGGGGGTTGTATTTACCCAACGTAAATTAATGGAACATTGTGGTCATTGTCTTAATAAAGATTAAATCGATTTCTTAATGAAGATCTAACCCAGGCCAACTCTGGTAAAGAACATTCACCATCCTCAGAATCTTCCTTATTTATTAAATTCATTAAAATGTAGAGAATGAATTCCTCTATGCACAAGAATTTGATGCAGTAAGAATATAATTGATAGAAATTTTTTCCAAGACCTGACTAAAGAGCGTTTGAATTCTAATTAAAAAATATTTGAAAACATAATTTATTTAAGTTCACAAGAGTATAGTTTGTGAAATGTGGATGGTAACAAAAAAAGGGAAGGATATCAAAGACATATCATTCACTTCTCCATACAACAATGTTTTATTCAGCTACTATGTCAGATAATGTAGTGTTTGGGATACAGTGATGAATAAAAACAAACCCAGTGATTACCGACTTGGAGGTTCCAGTCTAGAGAAATGGGATAATGGAAAGGGAATGGAATTAGAGTTGAGAATATTCTATCTCCTATTGAGCTCTACTACTGATTAGCCAAATGTGACCTTGGGCAAGTCACCTTTCTGGGCCTTAGATAATTAAATCATCTCCTTAGAGAATTTCATTTAGACATTAAATTATCTCCAAGGTCTCCTAGTCTTCAAATATTTAACAATATTTTATATCTTAC